CAAATCACACGGCTCAGATAAAACCCATCCAAGGGTACCAAAGAAAATCAGCCTTTGGAAATAATAGAAACAGCAATGAGGAAGCTGAATGTAATGAATATGACACAAAGCAAAAGAAGGAGCAGTTGTTTTTCACTCAGTATATTTGCAGAATTCATTGTCAGAGTGGGGTCACAGAAAGATACCCAGAGACAAAGTAGGGCTGGTTCATGCAGTGACTTGATGATAACTCTGTGGTTATCCAAGTGGTAGGTGGTCTGCTCTGAAGTAAAAAGAGACTTGAGAGGGAGAGAAAGTAGGTTAGAAAAAGTGTCCCATGCTTCAGCCACCTGTACTACTAGTGATGTCTGCATCATAAAATTTGCCTTCTCTGTGGGATCAAGAGCCAATGACTATTTCTGAAAGATCAACACTGTCTGCTCAAAACTGTTTCTCTTTAGTGCATTTCTCTACTAAGTTTCTGATCTATGATAATCTCCTTTAGTTTTCTCACAGCTAGTGTATTTCTGTGACAGAATCTGCTGACCAGTGAATCAAGTCTGTGCTCAGCGGCAAATGCATTCTGAGACCAGCCTGTGGTGCTTCTACATTGGTGTGCATAGTAGCAGTCAGGAAGAGCAAAGAGTCAGGAGGGATTGTAAGGTCAAGTCTGGTTTCAGGGCTACTGTGTGAGCACAGTCACAGAGACTGAGTGGCACAGCATGTGCATCATGCACAGTCTTCTTTAGGGAGACAAAAAGAGAAGGGAGGATTGCATTTGGTATAAGCTTCTTGATGGGACAGTGATGGGATGAAGTCTTTTGGTGGTCTTTGGATCCAGATTGATGAACCCTGGAGAAATAAAAGTTAAAACAGTTCAGGAGAAACATATCATATGCCACCTTCAGCCACGTATAGTGATTGGGTAAAATTCAATATTTTTCTAAACTATTTTGGGAAAAAGCCAAAGGTCAGATGGAATTAAATCTAGGCCTAGATTTAGAGATTAATGTAACATTTGTGAGTATGTGTGTAGGAGAAGACATGGGATTGTTGTTGAGTGAGAAAGACAACCTAATTAGTAATAAACAGCACCTTGGTGTCTAAATGGCAGCTAGGAAGAAATGGAGGTGAGTCCTATAAATCAATAATTTAATCAGTAACTTGAATGCTAAGAAAGTGACTTTCAAATTATAGTAAATAAGGGGAAAAGATTATTAAGTGGGAAAGTTAAACCTCATTCTTAACAGACCTCACAAAATATGAAGATTGGTAAACAGTTCAAGTGTAAATTTTGTACATGGACATAAAAGGCTAATTAATGCACAAAGGTAGGCTGGGACTGAGTAGCAACCCTGGTGTCAATGCCTGGAAGCAGCAGTGAATATCAAGCAGAAAACAAGCCAGCATTGCAGATACATCACAAATAAGGGGAAGTGCACACTGGCCCTGGCCAGCAGGTCAAGGGGAGGGACTATACACACTTTCCTGATCTTGTGACGCTGGACTTAAAATAATGCAGGTAGGTTTGGGTACCAAATCAAGTGGGGTAAGGGAAAGAGTATCAATCAGGAGTATCAAGCTAGGTAGGATCATAGAGCACATGACCTTCAAAGAGAAATATTGGCTTGTTCAGCATAATACAGAGGTCATCTAATAGCAGTCCATGGCTGCTGGAAGGGATTTTATAATTTCTTGAGTCAAACTCCTTCCTTTAGAAGAAAATAACCTCAGAAGGAACAATGAACCCTTACTGCAGCTGGGACATTCAGATTAAATGTTTGGGCTATCTTCCTAGAAAAAATGGTAAGTACAGTACAGGAGTAGTGAAAAATTGTGCAACTTGACTAGGGAAAGTGGCACACTACAGCAGGTGATAAACTTGCTTCAGGGCAGAGGCCGAACTGGGTGTCTTCCAGAAGAAAATTCCAACAAACACTCTCTGAATCAATGACTACCTCATGCTTCAGTATAAAATTTTCTTCACACATTGTATGTTGCTTCATTTCCACTGCAGCAAATGGATGAGTTTGTATGAAGCTCAAATGCTACTCCCAGAGTGTTCATTTAAATCTCCTGTGCTTGAAGAAAAGACTAGCAAATGAATTATGCTTCTGTACCTTGACAGAAGACCTATAGCTCAGGGTAAAACCTATTTTCATCTTGTTGTGTCCTGTATTCCCTTTGCCTGGAAAAAGTACATGCTTTGCTTTGCAGTGTCACTTCTTACGAGAGGATAGTCTTAAGTTAGTAGCAGCACCAAAGATCAGGAGATTAGGAAGAAAAACTAATTGCATAAACAACCCAAATACTGACAATTCTACACCAGGGCTTTTATCAGCTCTTTTTTTATCAGAAATCAATCCATCCCTTCACAGTTTACTTGTTAATAGGATAAAAAATTAGTGCTTGCAGTAGTAAATATGAAAACTATAGCTATAATTCATCAGTCCCTTTATCTCTGATAAGCTTGTATCATTCACAATAGAAACTTCATGTATCTCTCATTTTACCACTGAATGTGACATTTATTTCTATAAACCATTTATACAGATAAACCTACAAAACTGAGTCTGCAGACATACCTGGAATATTTTCCCAGAGCTATACTGAAAATACTTCATTGGTCATTTTTAGCTTGCATAGCTTCATCCAGCCTCAGAACCAAACTTTAATTGGTTGGAAGCACTTTTCTTTACGGGTATTATAGTGTTACAATATTTGGGTCTCAGCTCTCTTTGTCTGAAAATTTTTATTGTCTTTTGTCTTCAGTGTATGATTTCCTTGAACTTCAACAGGAAACCTAAGCTTAGCTAAGACATACTTTTCATATTTTCAACAACAGTCTCCAGGCTTTATTCATAGTCATTTAAGCTTAGAGCTTAGAAGATTATGTATGATTAACACACACACACACACACACACACAGACACAGACACAGACACACACACACACACACACACAACAAAGCGAGAAACCAATACCAAAATCAAAAACACCCCTGACAGTTAAATCATCCTCCACATTCCACATTAGGACTTTTCAGAAGACTGTTGTTTAGCCAGCATCCTAGGACATGTCTAGTGCTCCAGAAGTGTGGTGATAAGATCAGACTGATGCTCTAGGACATATATGGAAAAGGGGGAAGGGGGAAGGGGGAAGGAAGGGAAGGGAAGGGAAGGGAAGGGAAGGGAAGGGAAGGGAAGGGAAGAAAGAGAAAGGAACAACAATCCAAAGACATCTCTGTGAGACTGAGCTTTGCTTGATGCAGTTGTGAGAGGTAAGGCCTGGCTCTAGAAATGCTGCTTCCCCAGCTGACAGCACTGTCTTGTGGATTACCCAGACTTTCATTTCCTGGGTACTGGCTCTCATGGACCCACACGCAAACCTCAGCTGCTTGCCATGGCAAGCACCTTTTCAGCTGTCTCCTCTGCCCCTCTCTCTGGCCACAGTTTGGTGTAAGTCCGGCTGCTTCCAGGCCAGAGGGATGCACCAGCAGCAAGAGAGTGCTGTCTCCAACTGGCCCTGTTGCTAAGTGTGGAGAGGAGACAGAAAGAGAGGGAGAGGGGACCTGTCTCTGAAAACCTGATAATCCTGTTACTGTCCAAATTTCCCACACTTGTAGCATGGCCCTGATGAAGCAGCACAACCACATCTGCTTCATGTCACTATACTTTTCTCACCTATCTCTGGCTGTCAATTTCTTTTTACTTCTTTCTGTCTTATTTGATGTCTGCTGATGGCTCTTTTTTTTCCTTTCTTTCTATTTTTCTTTCTGTCTCAATATATTTTTTTTCTATTTGGAGGTTATTAAGATTTAGTCTTTTCTCTCAGAGTGTAGCCCTCCTTGCCCTGTCATGAAATGAAATCATATTGAACAAAAAGGCTTTACTTGGAGCTCAGACAGGAATTAAAGACAGCAGTTTTAACAAGAACATATATAAACATCTCCAGACTTCTTGTACTGCCAATGTGAGCTTCCTTACTAATGTGAAAATACCGGCAATATATTTTCAAGATAGGATACATATTGCTTTGCAACTTTTAGGTATGAAATGTTTTGCAGCACTGTGAATGCCTCTCAAAGACAGAATCACATCTAATCTTCTCACAGCCCTTGCTATCTAACCATGTATTTCTCCTTGCAGTGAATGTATCTCAAGAAATTCCTTAAAATGTATTAACCATGTATTATTTATGTACAATTACAAGGGACAGAAGTCCTAATTTTGCAGTGTATTGCTGCTGATTTAATCAGTGTACATTTGCAAACCTGTAAAGCACACACAATATTTCCCTTCTGCCTCCTGCTTTTTCTTCATGTCTGTTGACCACATGGATAATGCTGGAGCTGCTAATTCTCTGCTTGCAGTGATTAATGCTCTTGCCAGAGCACTCATTACTAGAAAGACACTGAGGATCAAACCCATACCAAGAGTAATGCAGCATAGCACCAGCTGAAGAGACAAGAGTTGTGCCTCCCTGTGCCAGGGCTGTATTTATTGCTAAAACCATCTCCAGCACAAAGATGCCTTGCCATGTTTATTCTGTGCCACCACATCCAGTATAATCAGGAGAGAATAAGAGACAAAAGGTTTACACTGTTGTTTTTATGTCTGCCAATAACAAGATTGGAGATTCACAGTATCTGCAGCCAGTCAGTTCATCAAAGTGCTCTTCAGTTGCACAAAGCATTCCATCTTAGTTTTGCATCCTATTGTGCATTTCAGGGGATCTTTCAATGTGCTCTTCTAGGCAGTGTTAGCAAACTTAGCAATATGCACTCTTGCCTTACTTGCTGACTGTCTTAAAAAAAGAAAATTAAATACATTTCTCATATGGCTATAATGCGGAACTTTCCCACACCATTAAATAAAATGTTACTCTAGTTTATTTTGGCATTTTCTAGGAGAAAATTTTCTTAAACTAAACTTATTGATTTGTGTAGGGACATTTTGCTAGCGCACATCATATTTTCCCCCCACACATATAATATTTCTGTTTCTGTGCCAGAAACTCACCTAGGGTAGAAAATCAGCTGCCTCTCCAGCTCTCACCAGAATAAACCAAGAGTAATTCTTCTGAAGCCCAAGGAGTTAAAATCAGTGTACAGATGAAAAAATCATGTTCTGCCTGATCAGCCCTGTAAAAGAAATCAAGATACAATCTTTGTTAGAAACAACTAAGTTAGAGAAACTTATTTCTTACTATGGTTTTTCATGCAGCTTAAGTGGTGGAGTACAATACATAATATCAGTAACATTTTATGAGTAACTAAGAAAAAAAATATTGCCCGTGATGTGCATTTCTTTGTGCAGCAACAACCACAAAAAATAAGTTCTTTGAAACAATAATATTTCTTTGTTAATGTGTTATGCACATACCTGTGCATTCACATAGGTGAACGGGAGGGCAAAAGGAGCCTTAGTGCAAATGTGATAGCCAGAGTAGAGCAAACACAAAGGAAAATTATACTGAAAGACAGACAGAAAGGTTTAATGTCAGTCATTGGAGCTACTGGAACTGATACTTTGAGCTAGTGTTTCTTACCATTAAGGCTTTCTTCTCTGTCTTCCTTAAAAGCCTATTACATAAGTGTGGTTATTGGGTTAGACTAATTTAAAATCTAGCTTTGTGTCACCTATTAAGCTAACAGATGTAGATCCATAGATGAATGAATTACTACTAGCTTCAAAATTCTTGGCGTGTGTAAGGCGATTGAGGTGCTGTATGGTGCTTGGGATTTTTTATCTTCCTCCTGCCTTATCCACATGAGAAATACTTTGCCAGGCACTAACTTGCTTGACCTTTTTGTCTCAGTCAGAAATTTTCTATTAAAAGTAAAAAATGATCCTAACAGAGAGATACCAAACATCCATCGTTTAATCTCTGGGGTCCTTCAACCAATTTGAAAGTCAACAGTGGAGGAAGCAATTTTTTTCTGTTTGTTTCAGCCTGATCTCCTACAGTTGTTTAAATTGGACTAGCACACAGTTTTAAATTAACTGAATACTGAAATAAACATGTTGTGTACAGTTTTTATAACACTTACACAGAGGAATGTGATTGTGTAAAAAAAAACCAAACCACAATAGAGACTATAGAATGACACTCCTATCACACAATAGTGAAGAAAGACAAATTATACAAAAAAAAAAGAGGTATCCCTCTCTGAATTCTGGCTTCCACAGGTCACAGTCGCAATTAGGCTAGAGGTTGTTAACATAGTCTGGGTGAAAGACATACTTTTGGTCCTATACAACCCTGTCTGAGATATAAATAAATCATGTCCATCCAGTCAGACCTAGTTACATATATGCATGTTCACAAGAACATCTGTACACATACTGAGACCTGCACATTCTACAATATAGTGTAGTGTTTGACAGGCCACTTGCAAAGGTAGCACAGAATTCTTTGCTCTTTAAATGTCTATTAAATTATAAAAATTTGTTTCTAGGGTTATGGCACTTATCTCTTTCCAAAACAGAAACTCCAACACAGTCTTTTCTCATTTTTGAAGAAAAAAATCCCCGAAAGATCCAACCAAAAAACCCTAGTCTGCTGAGTGAAGATTTATTGGTTTAGACTTTAGAATCAAAATTTCTAACAGTTCTTTGGTGGAAGGCAGAACTCTGTACAATTTTATTGATATTTAAAAATACCCAAGTAAAAACTTTGGTGACCCCAGAGAAAGAAGTCCAGTGAGACTCTGTTACATAATGTATCAACTCATTTGCTTATTTGTTTGGAGTGTGACAAAGAAATCACTAGATAGTTCACCTTTATATTTTGTTTAGGATGAAATTTATCTAAAATTGCTCAGACAGAGCTCTTATAACTACATGTTTTATGTTAATTTGCAGATATTTGTATCAATGTTGCGAGCTTCAGAGAAACCACACGGCAATATGAAGTTTTGTCATTGCTCTAAAATGTTAAATCCTGTAACGCTAGCTAAATATTGACTATGAGTTAATACGAAACATAAATATGTTAAAATATCGACATTCACTGCATTAAAGATCACCCCAAGTGAAGAACAGTGAAACACTGCTGTCCATGAAGGCAGGACAGAATAAAAAGCCATTCTCCCTGATCCAAAGTGCAGTTTTAATTTCACCCTCTATGAAGGGCCAGATTTTACCTTCAGATACACACATCCTGCTAAGCAATTTTCTGAGTAGGTGTACCAAGATTCCCAGGTTCCAGCCTCTCTAGAAACTGTAAAACAGCAGCACCAGAAAACAAGCTGAAGGGGGAAGCTTTAACCAGGTCCTGCATTTATTAATCTCAGTAGTTCTTTCCTTGAAACAAGCAAACAAACAGGCACAGCCTTCTGCAAACTTAAACAGGTGCTGTATAGCATGAATCCTTCTACCTGATGAAATAAAATCCATTTATAAATTATGCTCCAAACTGCAGCTTGTGACATAGCAACTTTCCCATTTTTCTCCTTTCCTTTTCATTTTCACTTTCAGAAATGAAAATTAAGAGTCAACTGTTGTGCATTAAATATTAATTTCTAGATAGTGCCTGTTTCACTGTTTGCCATGTTTCACTGTTTGCCATGTCTTAAGAACAGAAAAATTATTCACAGTCTCCATTTCCTTGAGGATTTTGGAGGCTTCCTCAGCAGCAGAGCACCATAAAGAATTCTGTGACAAAACTAAGAGATGCTAAGAAACGTCAAGATTTGGCATCATATGTTTGTTAATCCAGAGTTCCTAACAAGTCAAGTCCTTCAGGAGTTTTATGCAACTTCATAGAAGAGAGGAAATTCAATACAGAGAAAATGGTGTATGATCTTGGGATAGTCTGGATTTGCTATGCGTCTCGTCTGTTTCCTTTATTTTCTAAAGACAGTAACTCTTAGTTAATAAAATTGTACTAGACCCAGGGAACTGTTCCAGCTCTGCGTCCCCATACAGCAGGAGAGCTTGGGGATCATCACAAAGTTCTCACTATGGAGAAAGCTTTCAGATCTGTCAGTGAATTCACTGCCAAGACTTCTGCTACAACACCTGGTTTTTTGGGAACTCTAACCAAAATCCTTTTAAAATATTATTCCCAGTTTCACTGACAGCACTTCACAGTGAACACACACTGTCAGCAGGGATTTTATTTTTGGGGGGCTTTAGCTCATGTCCATTTTTGACCAACTAAGCTTAGCAACTTTTTTTTTAAGATGTTCCCTTCTTTTCTAACAATCCCTCCACCTACTGTCCTTGGAAGTTTTCAGAATAGTCAGGGAAAAAAAAATAATAAAGCCCCCAGTAGAGGAACACAAGGCACATCTATGTCAGAAAACTCTTGTTAGTGATTTCTAAACCACTTTTGTCACTGAAACTTAAAGCAAGAATAACAAAACCCTATTATAAAGGAGGACTGAAACATTGGTTCTCTCTTTTACCTCTTTGTATTATCATGTCACTCTGATTCAACTAAAGCTGCACAGAGGGAGGAAACCACGGTCTCAATCTCTCTGATTTTTGTAGCGGGCCTAATTTTAGAATCTGTTGTGTCAAGTTTTTCTAAACCTGTCAGTTTAATTTGGCAGATGCGGGTTAATGGAGACCTACTGAAAGCAGGGTGAAAGTCTATCCGAGTAGACGAACATAATTCGTGACTTTCACAATGCAGCAGTAAGGTAATAGATAAATGTCGCTTCCTTGAAGTTGTAGCAGGAAGCTATAGACAAAGCTACCTTTTTTTAGAAAAAAAAAAAAGCACTAGAAAGGAAAAACGTTAATGGCCATGGAAAGGGGGAAAATGCTGCTATGTTAGCTGGCCCCTTATCTTCAAATTCTGAAGTGGCAGCTGCAAAAAGATCAAGACAGGTAGAACAGCAGAAGGCAGAGGCTTAGGCACAAAAAGCTTTAAATGGAAGCAAAGTACTTCAGGCACCATGATAGAAATCAGCAGTGGTGGAAGTAACCTTTCAAGAAAATAATTTAATATTTGTTAAATAATTTGTAAGAATTATTACAATATTACTTAGCTCACTTCAGCCCCAGACCACCAGTGAGTCAGGAGTCCGGAAAATGCTGTCCTAACTGGACACTGGTCCATTTAGGTAAGTTAATACATACATCTAATGTAGAGAGCTGAGGGATATTCAACTTTGCAATTACATTATATTAATTCTATAGTGATTTTCATTCTGAAAAAAAATTGATGAGTGAAAATTCACAGCAACAGACCCCAGGGCAGCAAACCCTACAAATTTTGTGTCCTATCAGGACAGTTCAAATCCCATTTGTCTCTCCACAACTCAAGGGAGAACCTCCTCTCAGGGCTTCATTCAGGTCCTCTGAATTACTCCTTGGAGACCATCAGAGGGTCCTAGTACTTCATATTGCCTCTCACAAGGAGCTAGGCAGAATTTAAAGACTTAGAAGAGACCTGTTTTCCAAGAACTTCCCTCTTTAATACAGGGCACAAAAGTACAGCCATTATCTGAAAGGATATTTGTGCAGGCAGACAAAAAAAACCCCATAGACATAGTCTTCTAACTTGCTTGTGAAAATAGAAGGAAATGAGCTGTGCTTCACTTTTTGATGGTTCACTCTGTAAGCTCACCTGGTAAAGAAAGCATGAAGAACTACAAAGGAGTTTCCTTGTATACACACAGGACTTGTCAGAAGCAGCCACAGCACACTCCAGAGCAAGCAATCACAGCTATGAGGTATATCTGACAACAAGGCAGGAAAGAAGGGAAAAGAAGAACCTCCTTCCTATGCAAGAGCCATGCCAAATTGCACTATTAAGTACTGTAAAAGTCAGGACCTTTAATTTTTGTGAGAGTGAAGGAAAAATCCTTTATACTCAAAAGTTAAAGCTGCAGGTCACCAGGGAAGCAAGGCTGACTAGCACAGCAGCCCTCTGGAGGCTTGGATCATTAGGCCCTAGGTATGTGCTTATCCATGCTGTCTCTTTGCAGCTTTCCTTTGTCACAAAAGGGCATCTCAGTTATAAATGTTGTTCCACATATGCACCAAATTGAGGACCTTGACAGCACCGTGACAAAAAAACACAAAACCCTAAACTATAGGAGAGAAGTGAAATACCACTTCTTACCAATCTTAGTCCTTTTGGCAGTCAACTGACCTCCACCCATATTAAGCAGCTCTCCATCTGGCT